AGAAGTTTCGCTACACACTAAATCAGAATGGATAAAACCCCAAAATCCCTCTCAGACCAACTACTATTATTCTGCACGGCTATTTGCATTGGTTTCAGATGTTAAGACCAACTGATTGGGAATGTAGTTTGTACGATGAAGTGGCAGATCACGAGAACAAAGATGCTTTTAAGAAGTTGAAGAAGGAGTATTCTGATTTTTTTAAGTTTTTAAAAAACGTTACTGGTTACGAAAAAGTTGGTTTTGGTAAAGCTGCTTCGTTAAACAATCTGAACAGAGAGGTTAGATTTTCCTTCGATTCTCCTACATTATTCACAGGTTTTAGCAGCATATTCAGGAGTAGTGATATTACTAATTGTGGAAGTTAAAATAAAGGTGTTTCTGGGGGAAATCTTTTATACGTTGCCACATCTTAGATCATTCATCATTTGCCACAACCAGACTGGGTATACAAGCGATGGCCGGAGCATGACAATCAAACGACGCTGGAAATTGTAACGGAGTTGAAAAGAATTGAGAGGGTTAGCGAATTTGATTCACCGGACAAGGCTCGTCTTCGCGGTGGGCTGCTTCTGGGAGACTGGGTTTCTAGGGCTGTCAACATTTCAAATGGTAAAGTAGTTCAACCGCAAAAAATGAACCTTTATTCAACGGTAAGCAACTGCTACAGTTGGTTTGCTGAGAAGAGTAACGTCGCTTCTTGTCTTTTTTGGTTTTAAAATAGTTTCTAATTGGAGACACTATTTAAACACATCCTTTAAAAGTTAAAAATTTTTGAAAACCAGTTGCTAAAGCTGGACAGTTGTGAATCAGTTTTTTGTCATCGATGTTTTAAAATTTTTCTTATTTTCTTATGTTGTACTATTCAGCACGAAGGTACTGTTGCATCCTTGATGTATGCATTTGGAATTGGCGATGGGACGCTGATACCCTATGCTGCTTGTCTCATAATGGAGGTTTATCAGACACCGAAAGGCGGCACTGTTGTAAAGGTAACTGTAAAACAACTTTTTGCTGCAAGTTGGTACTGCGTTAAAGCAAGAAATTTAAAAGGCAAAATTTTTCAGCTGTTGTACAAAAACCAAACGGACCAGAACTATTTGCATAATACAATTATACCTGGTTGTCAAGAGTTTTGCCCGGTAAAAAAATTGAAAAAGCTACTTGCTGATATGATCATTGATGACGACGACGAACTTGTTGAGGTTAACACATATATGCATTATATGACTATCTGATATCAATACCAGAAACCGTGGAAAAAAATTGTTGACAGCTAGTTGCTTAAATAATATCTGAATTGATTTCTTTTTCTTTATTTAAATTAGTCAAAAAACTTCACTGCAAATTTTGCTTTGGATTTTGTTCAGTAGCATTCACTTCGGAAAT